ACAAATCAGCAAAACTTTCTCACATATCAGCCATTAAGTTTTGGTTTTATTTGCCCAGGTTTAGCTATATTAGCGATCCATTAACCTCTATAAAAAGCTGTATAAATGTGTCCATGTTACTTAATCAACAGACTTCACTGTAGACAGTTTTTATAGAAACTGCTTTTTACCGAAGAAATAGTCCCTGTGAATATTAGTTCCAAGAAGAATACTGCAGCTGAATTTTCTAATGCTTTTTCTTTTCTTTTACCGTTTTGAGCACCACAAATTAAATTCGACTTTCCTTCTTTGTATTGGGGTGCCAGCAGAGGTTTTGAAAAATAGTTTTTTGTTTGATTTTTTAAAATCCTCTGGCAGGTGCTTTGCAGACAAGCTCTGTTTAAAACTACAAGTACATTTCTCATTGTTTCCAACCATACCAAATAAATGGAATTTCTTAAAAATAAATGCACAAAATATCTAGAATTTTTCATTTGTTGTAAAGGTACAGCAAAAAAGAAATGAGTCTGATTATCAGACTGAATTGCTTTTTCTTTTTCTCTTCAGCTTTGAATGTTTTAATGTTATTTATTTATTCATTTGAACTGAAAAAAAATCTAAGATGTGGTTGGTGATTCTAGAGGTGTGGAACCAAGGAGATAAAATGGTGCTGGTGTTGAATTCTACTGAAACTCTGATATTAATTTTTCTCTGAGATGTATTTAAGCTTGAATAAAGTTTTGGAAGCATCAGATGCAAAATACGTTACGATTTGATGTCCTCAAACATCTGATCTCTTGGCATTAATTAACCACACAGATGCTGTTAATTTTGGTCTCAAACTAGATCATATTTCTGTTAGATTTCTTCCTGCATATAAATAAAGGCAAAAATATACTTTAATCAGTAGAGTCAACAATAGATATTATATTGACTCTGTCTTACTTTCTCTCTCTGTCTCCAGTCAGCAGAGTTTCCACAGTGGAACATTTTAGAGAATGAGGAGGAAGACGAGGAGGAGGAGGAGGAGGAGGAGGAAGAGGGAAAGAGGAAACATGTTGCTGCCAACTCTTCAGACCCCACAGAGCTGGCATAGTGTGTGTGTGTGTGTG